TCTCTGGGGATCATAAGTTGCTTACCATAGGTTACCCTCGATAAGTGAACTGTCACGAACTGACTAGACTTTACCGCCGCGTGATGCTTTGTACACCCTCCTAACCCATGGGTAATGCATGTGTGATACTCGCAGTCTCATACCAGGTTGGTCATTGAATAGAGATCTAACTAACACGGTTGGAGGTTAGAATAGATACAGCTACTTGCTTTGCTACTGCTCTGACAGCCTCACGTCAACCACCGCTGCATTGCGGCTAGGCTTTTGAGCCAAAGGCTTTGGTTGAGGACCTTGGTCGTCCTTCTATTTAGGCGTGGGCATCCTGACAGTCTCCGAGCCCACTCACGTTGACAAATGGTCTCATGTTACATCGACCGTCGCGTGTTGTCATAAGCCGGGTTGGCTGACTTGCTGCATACAGCCCGATAAACAGAAAGCCTTCCTGGATGAATCAAGAAACGTCTTTGGAGGAGCATTTATCTCCCAATTTGAAACATCTTTTGAGGAATACCCAAACTGCCCACACCGTTGGATCGCATTTCAGTGGTTGCCGTACCACACGTACAGCCGTCAAACTAGAACTGCAGGGCATAAGCAAAACAAAGCGGGAACATGGCACTGCTGGGAGCGACTTGAACCGATCCACGCTTACTGATCCAATAAATAAATTAATGTGGCAAGCCCTCCACGCATGTCTTACCTCTGATCCTGAGGTCAGTCGATGCTGCGTGGGCAACAGTTCCCCGGTCACTTTGACGCGTAAAACTGCGGTGAATGCGTGCACTGAGTGTGACGTTGTCCTTTGACCTAAATGTATTGAAATCGATTTCATCGATCGTCTCTCAAAACCTGTATACTTAGGCATATGAGCCAAATGCGATCACGTGAATTTGCCCTGGTTTGTGGAGCTTGCTTACGCGTCTGCAGCGCATTTGTGGATTACTCAGGCGTTCACTAACTTTGTTAACACAGTTAAAATGATTTCTGTTCCATGCAGAGGAAACCAGTGCGTCGGGTGACACGAAGGAGTCTGGTCACCGTATCGCTCAATCGCCCCATGGTTGCTGGTCATCAGGAGGATGCACTCATCCAGGCTCGCCAAGACCATCTGTCTACTGCTTCTTGTTGGTGGCTGGTACAAATCAACAGAACTAACCTACTGTGTCTCAACAATCATAAACGGCAAACGGCTCTCATGTAGACGATCGCTGGCAGGTCACTTCACTGACCACGCTTTTTTCATTTCGCTTCCCCTATCCTAATCTCACGGTTTGTCACGATATCATAGCCGGTCGTCCATTCTGTGTTAACACCCACGGATGGTGAGATAGTAACAGTCAGTCTTTGGGGTGTTGGCTCGTTTATCCGTGCGTTATCAACCGTTCGAGTCTTCACTTGTCGTACCTTACTAGCAATACGCGAACGATATTATTCTCACGTCAGTTCTCATGTCCAACCCTTTTTTCAGGCATTGAACAATCTTCAATCCACTCACCAAGGATTTGGAATGGTCACCAGCGAAAACGTTTTCAAGGTACTGTTTTCACGACTCATGTAATTCCAAGTAGTCTAAATTTACGATAACTCCGCTGCGAATCCGGGCATAGATCAACTTTCATCACATCATTTCAGGAAGCGTCAATTTAGACGGCTCATGTTAGTTAGCCTTCCGCCGAGGAGATATCTGTCTTGACGAAGAATTTTCTGTTCTACGTAGATGGGATATACCTTCCTAGTCTTTTTTCAATCGAATGTAGGGAAGGGAACTGTTGTTCCCGTTCACACCGCTAAAACTGACGCAGAGTGTACTTCCATCTTACATGGGTTTATCGCCAGGATATACCTTCTGATATGGGTATCATTCCAGAAGCCTTTCAAAGACGGTTAATAGTTAAACAAGGTATACAAATGAAAACATTGTATTGAGTTGTCCATGACACCAGCCTACCTTGGTAAAGTGGCCCTATCCAGGATCCAGCGGTTGTGGTACGAGCTGGCCGGCAGTGGGCTCGTTCAAAATCGATACTGGGCTGCTGAAAACCGGGTGAGACGTCCGAGGAAATTTTCTGCTATCCGGGGATAACTGGTTGCTTTATCAGTTAATACGGCGTATTTTTGTAAAGTAACGAGCAGATGTGAGTGACTGCAATTACCCCAATATTGATCACTCATTGAACACTTCGTCCGAAAGGTGCCTGTTCCGATAGCTGAAAACCATATGGTGACGATTATCTTTGAGATGTGGCATTTTTTCAGTTTATAGCTGTCCTATAACTCAAAGCACCAGAGCTAAGATAGTGCCACGTTGTCTAGTCCTAGACTGAAGCAGTCGAAACTCCAGTGTTGGGTTCATGTCACGAACCTTCCGGTCAGCAGTTTAGAGTCTTAACGGCTGAGCTCTCTCCACCCGTTAGGTTAATCATACTTTATGTTCCACTTTGCGCTCTTGTGGATTGTGAGCCCAAAGGATACTGCGATTCCCACCTTTTGTTGCTGTTCCATTCAATGGGACTTTAGGCTCAGATTCGGATCAGTTGAAAAGTCTGACCTTCTGTATACATCACCCCTTCCAGGTTTGCGATGAACCTCATCCCATGCTCGTGAAGCAGCTCCTAGACCACTGTGTGAAAAGCGATTTCACTGAGGCGCACAAAATCCTTCGTCATCTATGGACTTTGGGCTATTCGGCAGAGGATATTATGTCAATTTTGTTTCGCGTGCTTAAGAACCACCCAATGGAAGAATACATCAAACTGGAATTCCTCAAGGTTAGTTGAGTGCTAGTCATTCAGGATAGTGAGGTATAGTAGGCACATTCTCCTCATGCACTTCTCCTTTATTTTCATTGAGTTATAGCGTCGCCGGTTAGTATACTCCCTTCTTTCATCTTCGTCACCAGCATTTTGTCACAACAACTGGTTCTGATCTTTACAACCAGACTGCGCCAATCTACTCTGCGGCAATCACGTTGAATCCACGAATATATCCCTTCATCATGGTGATAATGCAGTGAACTGGTGATGATTTGACAGTGGCAGGGGCGTGGGGGTAGCGGAACATTAGTCGTGTTGTACCGGCAGTCCATACTGACCAATGACTGCCACTTTGACGTGGATCGGATGAACTAATGGTCCGGTAGAGTTCACTGGCTTTAATTTTGTTCCTCAGGTTTGAATCGTGGCAGAAAGACGTAATCGGAGTAGCCAGACAGAGCGAAGCGAAGTGAATTCTTGTACCACAATCACTCTCATCGCCAAGCGGTTGGCGATAGTTAGATGCAAGCTCTTCCACATTTATGGAAACGGTGATTTTGCCTTCGTGGAAGGGCGAGTTTGAAAACGTTGGCTGTAAAAGCCACACACGCTGATGACCCGATGGCTCCAAGAAAACCCTAGTACCTTCTGCCCTGCATATCAGGCTATCAAATCAAGAGCTCTCATAGGGCTATCTCGAACAACCTCGGTCCTCGGCCTTGGCAACCTGGAAATACCGTTTCTCACTGCAGCACTTATTTCTCCGTCCCGTCATCTAATCCCTTCTCAACACTCAAACAGCTCGTCTAACTGCCAAACACCCAAAAACCGTTCATATCACCCTTTCGGCGCGTAACTGCCATGTCAGCAGAAGGATGCACGACGGCTGGGATGCTGCCAGGCTGCTTAAGCCTAGGCAGGGGAAGTCCGGAGGCAGAGGGCGCACGGACCTCCGGTCAATAAATTCGCTCTCTAACCACTGAGCCATCTCGCCCTTCAAACTGACACAGACAGACATCGCCTCGCAGTCAGTTACGCTGGTTGGAGACACTACAAGATATGGCTGCCAACCGATGTCAGTGGCGTTCTTGTTGTCAGTTTCTATCCAGATTGCCTGAGTGAATGTCTGGAGGTGTAGGCACCTCGGAATGATTGTGTTAAGCTAGCACTAAGTCCCTCCCCCATCCACCTTTACTCTTTTCTTTACAATAAGGCTTTCAAATAACTCATGGTGTGAAGCTTCGGTGAAGCATCGGTGTTGAACACTGATGTCATGCTGTCGATGATGATGATGATGAGTCACTTACGCTCCTGTTCTTACTGTGTCCACTTTCGACTTCAACGAAACAATTCGCGGTGGCTGACCGCACAGCAGTCCTGGTCTCGTTTTCCCATTTGTTGGAGAGCAAGGGAAGAATTAAAGCACCCTTGGTACACTGTAATGGCTGTCAAACTAAACCGAACAGGAACTGTAAATTGCGGGTTTAGTAGACCGGAATTCGAGTTTCTGAGGCCATAGAGACAGCGTGAGAGTGTAGTGGAAGCCAAATTAGCGAATGCTCAAAGGATCCTGCCAACAGCCTTAGATCCGAGTTAACTGGGTTCGCAGTTCGAAAGAAAAACATTTCCATCAAATCTGTGTCCTTTTCAAATAATTTTCAACCCATTCCTACTTCTACACTCATCCCTGTTGGATTTGCTGGTGTGTTTCTTGCAATGCTTGTTATGCAGTGATTCGGTGGGTGCATATTTTACTGCTGTCTCTAAAGTCACCCCTCGTGCATGGATCACAGAAGAATGGGTTTTTTGGTAATAGGAATTTTTACTCTAATGATTTTGAAAAAAAGCGAGAGGTTTCAATTAGGGCGAAACAGCTGTCGTAGCGTGTACTTCTTTCTGAAAGCAATATGAATGAGTTCACCTTAAAACAACCCATCCGCAGCTGGTTTTAACTAACAACTAGTCAGTTGTTTTCCATGTGGACCTCTGTACGGAATGAGCCAGTTGGGTCGTCCACGTACATGACCGCCAGCTATTTTCATGCTACTGACTATATGTAAGTAGCTGGACTTTGTTATGCTCGATTTAGACCTTCACCCAAGTTCACCACGACGTGAGTGTCAACAATGTCGAATTTTCTCAGTCCCCTATGGTTTTGCAGTTGATTATTTCATCGCCTGTTCAGATCTTTAGATTTTGATACAATTTCTTCCATGCCAGTGATGTACTACACTTTTTTTCTTTCCAGGAAGTTGGGCTCATTCATCTACGTGTTGCCGAGGGTTTGGGCACGCATCTCCAGCTCGCCGGCATGATTGCACGGCTGTGTAAAGTTTCTATGCCACAAACATCCACATAGATTTCTCTGCTTTTTCCTCACGCCAAAGTCCATGCTGTTGCAGATTTAATAAACTATTTTTGTCTCCGTTATTGGGCAATTTATGTTCATCCCGGAGGGGAGGGGCAACATTGCACAACTGCNAGTGTCCGTACGTCGGTCGGAATGAATGACCATCTCCCCTTTCAGAACTGCTGGCTATTATTAGTAAATTTGCTTAGAAACATCGTGATGCCGGTCCAATGTAACATCGTTGTTTACTTTCACCTGTCCATTTCTGTGAGCATTTAAGATCTTTCAGCTGTAGCACCCTTTCGGTGCCTAACTGCCATGCCACTCAAAGGTTGCACGAGGGCTGGGATACTGCCAGGTTGCCCAAGCCTATACAGGGGAAGTCGAGAGGCGGAGATCGGATTCGAAACCCGAACCCTTCGGTCAGTAAATTCGCGCTCGAACCACTTGGGCCATCTCGCCTCCGTTAGCGTTTAAGCCAAATTGTTAAGCTGAAGGCAGGGGTGCTTGACTAGCTTGCGATGGGATAACAACGCAAAACTACGGTACGAAGGAAAACTCTAATAAGCGACACTCAATTCAGTTTTTGAGCTCATGTTTGCCTTTCTCCATGGCTTGTCGCTAAAATTTCCGTGAGCACTGGGGATATCCCGTTGAACGGTGCAATTGATGTTAAGCCCGAATCGGTTCACTTTGCCGATGCCCAGATAAATTACCGTATTTCAACAAAGATTGTCGGACTGCGCTAACTCGATGCAACTGGTTTCGGGCATCCACAGACGATAGAATCAGCTGAAACGCAAACATCCGTCGTGTCGAGGAACAAGGACCACTTGATGGAAGGATACATCTCAAATCGGTCATTTCCTGCATACTACTGGATTCCGAACGGAGAGAAAATCCTGAGAAGCATTTGTTCCTTTTTCCAGATTAAGTTGTCCATCAATCTGGAAGATTACTCGGCATCTGTGGTTCGGGTGCGCATTGTCCTGCTAAGACGAGAAGCAGAGCCCACTAGGATACACAGACTGGTGCAGTGCGTTGAACTACACAGACAAGAGAATGCTCCCTATCTTCCCTCGGCAAAATTCTGGAGGATGAGTCGGGGTTAGGAAGTGAGCCACTACGTGGCTCGGGAGACTCCGTTGCCCTGACAACGTACGCAGTGGGACAAACGAACTATATCCACCTACTCAGCAGAGTACTGAAAAGACTGACCACAATGAAATTAGATAGGTAGCTGGGTAAAGCAATCTGCTCATAAAGAGAGTGGGCGCCATCATGTTGAGGGACAGGGGAAAGTTCTCGAAACATCGTCTGCGGTATTTACGGCAACTTTGAAATTCAAGGAAGTTGTACTCCTGTATGACACCTGTCCGCTGCTGTTGGCGATAAAGCGAAATTGGCAACCTGCAGACACTTTTACATCCTCGGTTTGCTGGCTTAAGATAGGATAAGAACGCAAGCTACAGTAAAAGCAGTTAATTTTTCCCATCGGGCTGTCACCAAAATTTCAGAGGAAATTGGAGACACCATACCATAGTAGACGCGAACTGCTCCACGTTGCTGATCCCCCGACGTGCTTTGAGACAGTTCACCCTATCCAATTGGTTTTAGATATCCGCAGGTGATAGAATCAGCGCCAGACACGCAGAGATTTGTTGACGTGTGCAACAAGGACCACATTGATGGCAAGACACCTGAAATAGCATAGTATTGGGAATTGAACACAGGAGATCCAGAAAAGGATTTGTTCCTTTTTCCGAAACAAGTGGTCCATCAATGTGCAGGACCATTCAGTAGCTATGGTTCATTAAACACTGGACCTCCAGCGTTCCGCTCAAGTCCAATCGGAACATCAGAACCCACTGGGATAGAAAGACTGCTGCGCTACGTTGATCTACACAGTCAGTGAAATGTTCTCCCCATTTCTATTTTCTTCTGGCAGAATCTACGGGAAAAGATGGGGTTAGGAAGTGGAATGGTGTCGACTTCGCAGCCATCACTGCCTAGCTCGTGAGAGTCAAATCCCTTGACAACGTACGCAGTGGGACAAAGGAAATATCCACCAACCCAGAAGTAATGGAAAGATTGCTTGAGATGAATTTAGCTATCTATCTCGGCAAACCAATCTGTTCACAAGGAGAGCTTTATAGAGGGACACAGGAAAGTTCTTGAAACATCGTTTGCGGTATTTATGGAGGTCGTGAGATCTTCGAAAGTCAGGTGATATCGACTGATCACCGAATAGCAAGGAATACAGTTTGCAGTCCTTGGTCCTAGCTTGAAATATCGACTAACCGGTTCCTTATATCCGTGAATCTTCTGTCAGTTAAGACGAGGAAGGATGCATAGATTAGATAATGGGAGTGTGTTTACCTGTATATAAAACCCCGTAGAAGGGCCTCTCTGTTTTTTTGCAATGGCTGCCCATTTCTGACAAGTTTTACTGTGCACCACCTAATTGACTCAGGTTATTTAGGCCATGGCTGCTGAATGACGACATCCCAAACCGAATAAAATTTGAAAACAAAACAAGGAAGTGACCACTCTAACTCTCACTTTATTTTATGTTAGTTTGCGGCGAGGTTCCTAACTGTGGGGACCTGAAAAGGTTGGAAAAATTCACAAACTCCACAGCTAGCCCTCCGCATTTTTAGAGACTTGTAAAACATGGCGAAAATGCCGATGTATTCTATTACCAAAAAATGAAAAATAAACAGGTTCCACTGAAGCGTTAAGCTGCAACCGATCTGGGTCATTTTGACTATTTTGCAGAAAAACTCTACTCTCAATGACCGTCGGAATAATAGGGCGAACGCACTCCTCGGACTTGAATAGTCACGTCGATGACACCGCTCGTGCATTCCTGGTAGCCCGCTGCTAGTACCAACACCATACCGCTTGGAATTTTACAGCTATCGTGCAACGCTGACTCGAGATCAGCAAGCGAGATTCTGGCGCACGCACCCCGTCACGTGCTAGAACAACGTCATATGTACAAACGACCCAAGATTTTAGTAATCCTAAGCTTCTAAGGCGCATCGACTCGGTTGACCGGTCTGTTCTCCGTAATACGCTTGCCCAGAAAGGAATGCCTGGAAGTTTGTGAGCAAAATAAGCTCCTTGTATTTCCAGACTTCCGGACGTATGGAAGTATATGGGGAGATCTTCAAAAGCTTCCGCACACAAGGAGATGTGTATCAGTGATACTCTCAATCCCTATTTAATTTCTTGATCGATGAAATCATGAGACGAGCGTTAGGTCTTCAAAAATCTGGCGTTCAAATAGCCTCTGACGGAAACCTTCTCGATAATACATGAGGATATCGTTCTCGTCTTCGAAGAGAAGGAGGAGGCTCAGGTGTTTCTGGATGGACTGACCAAAGTCACCCAGTCCTTTGGTATGCACTTTGCACCCACAAAGTATAAGGTCATGCTCCTGGACATGAAGTCATTGAACACGCCACTTATAATCCAGAGGGGAGCACTCGAAGTGGTGGAGCAGTTTACGTATCTTCGAAGTTGTATTAGTTACAACTGTAGTGTGACGGATGAGGTGAATGCGCAAGTCTGCAAGGCTTGGGTCGCGTTTGCTAATTTGAGACACCTATGGTGTCAGAATGGTTTATCCCTGAGTATGAAGGGACGTGTGTATCAAGCTACAGTACGGGCTGTTTTGTTGTATGGCTGTGAGACTTGGCCCATTCGAGCAGCGGACCTGAGACGTCATCATGGGGTTCGACAATCGTTGTCTCAGAACCATAGCTCGTGTGGGTTGTTGTCGGCGAATCCGTAATGAGGCAGTTAGAAAGCGTGCTTTCGGTTGTGTAACGAGTACTTCCATTGAAGAATGTGTCCAGCACCAGAAGCTGCGTTGGTTGGGACATGTGTTGCGTATGCCGAACCATCGTTTGCTTAAGAGAGTACTGTTTTCCATGCCCAGTTCGGAGTGGCGTAAACATAGAGGTGGCCAACCCTTCACCTGGCAGATGAGTATGAAGGAGTCAGTTTCTGTGCAGATTGCCTGAGTGAATGTCTGGAGGTGTAGGCACCTCGGAATGATTGTGTTAAGCTAGCACTGAGTCCCTCTCTCGTCCACCTTTACTCTTTTCTTTACAATAAGGCTTTCAACTAAATCATGACTGTACGGCAGTGAAGCATCGGTGTTGAACACTGATGTCATGCTGTCGATGATGATGATTCAGCGGAACTGACCACGGCTCGTGTGGGTTGGTGTCGGCGAATCCATAACAGCGCAATTAGAAAGCGAATCTTCAATTGTGAAAGGGAGACTTCCACCGAGAAATGTTTGTAGCACCAGCAACTGCGTGGGTTAGGTCATCTATCACCAGTTTGCCGAAGAGAGTGTAGTTGATGATGATGAGAAGGATGGTGAAGATGATGAGGATATGATGAGTACCACTCAGTTGATGAGACCACTGACAAGAACATTGATTTATAGAGTTGAAACTGAACTATACCAACGATAAAACGACGCTTTTCACCAGAGATCAAACCAAGAAAAGCTTCAAACATCTGAAGTGTAAAGCTTTGCTACTGAGAGAATAGTCGACACCCCTAATAAGAACCAATTGCGTAGAAAAAGCGAAGCGCTGCTCTGAGGATTTTCCAGTGAAGCAGAATAATAGAGAAGGTGAAGAATGATGCCAGTGTATGTGACTTGCATCTCAAATGGAGATGCAGAACTGTTTGTTGATTCCTTTTCCCTGATCGATGTCCCATCAAGCAAAGTGGGCTTCACCAGCTTGTGATCGTTCGTTACAACCAAGAACCTTCTAGTTGGCAAAAATTATCGTAACACTTAAGATGTGCCAAGTTGAAAGTTCTTCAAATCTATTATGCAACTAAGACAGTGTGCAACGTAAAATATGTGCGTGTGTGAGTGTGTGTGTGTGTGTATTGGCAGCATCCACTCCGCTTGCAGATAATATCGATTTTTTACCCAGTACCGACTAGCTATGATTACACTTAGTCAGGCCACCGTATGAGATGCATTCGGTTAGATCACGTGACACACTTCTGGTGACCTGGAATGAAGTGGAAACAAGTAGATTTCAATGGACTGAAGTTAGCGGGACTATCAGGTCAATTTAAGGACACCGGCAGTTTTTGCCGGTTTGTATCCATACTTTTGTGCGTGGAAAATCTGCGGAGGTCGAAGATTAGCTAGTGGTGAATAATTAATTACCCAATGAACTTAGTGAGCGTGCTTGGAACACAATTCATGATGATTAACCTATTGTGTCGGTACGCGGACATATATTGTCCTATCTCGACTGAGAATGTTTGAAGATATATTATCGCTGTACATAGTTGTGAAGCGTTGCGTTCATGATGATTAACCTATTGTATCGGTACGCGGACATATATTGTCCTATCTCGACTGAGAATGTTTGAAGATATATTATCGCTGTACATAGTTGTGAAGCGTTGCGACACAAATCGCGTTGGAGAGGCGGACACGCGGATCAAGTGCCACACGGCAGTTCGCCCACCATCCTTCTCAACTAAAATGACATTGGTTTTGGGGGAGACCTCTAATCCCCTTAGGCATCCTTGGGACGTAAACCCACCTCTTAAAAACAGCATATGTATTAGACACAGAGTAAGTTAGGGGGTTGAAACTGTTTTTCACCGATGTGGAAAGAAACACGTGGAAAGTTACTGGGCCTCTGATCGACACAGACCTCAGGCGAAATCGCAGAACACTCAAAATCTCCATCAAATTGCAGCACCTTTAAGATCTTTCTTGAGCAGACGTAAAAGCCAACTACCGCAGCTACTTATTGAAGTCTCACTGCAGTGGGTAGTGTAGATTTTTTATTGAACTTTCTGCTTGCCTTGCCCTTCGTCTTTGTCGTTTAATTGCTGGTTTGCACTTTTGGACGCCATAGATATTACTACTGTTATCGTTCATTTTTGAAGAGCATGGTCTCCAAGCGACAAATGTGGAAGGATCTACAGAAGAATATGAAAAACGAATATGAGAAAACGAGGGGAATGTTCCATTCGAAGTCATGCTACAAACAGTTTTAGGCAGACAAGATAAATCCCAAAGTATGTAAGAATGATTGGTATGGAAACACGCGTGTAAAGACCAACAACCGAAGAAAGGACAAACAATGCTGACTGCTCTTCTAGGCGCGATAAGCGCTAGCATAGTCGAGACTCGCACATCATGCACAAAGTGTCCGTCATACTGGGTCTGGTGTGAGATTCACTGGCAAAAATGTACACTCAATGCCATGTACCACGCATAGAGGTGTCGTAATTACGCGGGGAGCCCTAATTGACGAGCAAGCACACGTCACCGTGTGTGACCTTAGGAATTCTCAATGCAATAACATCCTTGGCGAATTGAGAGAAGCAGGTCCCTCGATAAGAACTGGTAATCTTTGGGTGGACCAAAGGGTCAACATCACAATCGAAGTAGCGCCAAACCGATGGTGAAGGAACAATCATGATCACCACTATTTCGCTCCTTTTCATTCCATGCAGTCACCTCGCGCCAAATAGAAACCATGCTTGCGTCTATCACAGCTGCTCGGCGCTCCCGAACAGCGATTAGGTCAAGCTTGACGAAAGACGTCGAATTAGGTGCTCTCAACTTCCCAAAGACAGTGTTTCCCAGACGACGGAGACGTTTTGCGAGTTCCCCTGCAAGCCAATTATGACCAGCACATCTAGCAACATGCGTGATCCAGCATGACTCCAGAATATGCAACGCATTCTCCGGTTGACCACACTTTCCACGACAGAAGATCATCTGGCATACATGGTCATGCCTGGCGCTTCTAACTCTCATCGTAAGCACTTGGATAACGCGGATAAAATCCGAGGAGACACTCGCCCTGGAGACACAAGTCATCAACTCGACAGAGGCGAAGCGACCAACTCTCGGAAACCGCGATCGTCAACGCTGTAATGCAGACTACCGCCCCATGCAGCTATCAGCTCTTCCCTAGTGTTGACGCCTGCACCGTGGACTCGCATCAGAAGGCTGAGAACAATCTCGGCAAATGCGGAATCATGGACCACATTGGTTAGTACTTGACACTGTGTAGACAAAAGCCTTCCCTAACGCGCCGTCCGCTGCATCGGGACGGTTGCATTCAGACTTGGGATACCAAATCCCCGATGCTGTTTATCAGCGTGGATGTAGCTGATCGGGAGGAGCTTCCTCTGAGTTTTTATTTGAAACGACTGGACAGCTGTTAAACAAATCAGTAGCTGAGCTGCCGCACAATGTATTACTGATGTTACGCACTCTAAACGCATTCGCCAAACAGCTAAGCAACTAAAAATGGACTAAATGGCTAGCCAAAAGAAGCAGAAAGAACACAACAACTGCATTCTCAGTGAATGGAATTGCATGGTTTGTGGTTTGCAGGTGACAAATTCCAAAAAATTCATTTATTATTTAATGTTCAAATACGACCCCGTGCTCTAGTGACAAATACAGTCGCCTGTGCCCCTAAAAGTGATCGCGAAACAGACGACTATACTAAAAAACACTGTTGTCTCCTCCAAATACCGGTCGGTGATATATCGAACGTTTCAAAGAGAAACACCGCGATTATGAACATCATCGTGTCAGGCGTAACTAATCACACAGGTGATGATTTGGGACTGCAGTGTCCCTCCTAAGGGGAATGACAGTATGTACCTTTGGAGATGCGGAGCACACTAGGATACAGCAAGACTGCCTCAGTGAGTTGAACTAGAGGCAAACAAACGTTTCCTCCATTCCCACATTAATCCGGAAAACTTTTGAAGGGAAAGTCGGAGTTGTGAAGTGAAATGACATCCATCTCACAGCCATCACCGCCAAACTTCCTGAGACTCGAATCCCGTGACAACGTGGGCGGTAGACCAAGTGAAATATCCGCCGGCCCAGAAGCTATGGACAGAGTGACCGGGGTGAATTTAAATAGACACCATGGCAAACCGGTCTGTTCACAAGGACAGTGTTTCGAGTTCTCGAAACGTCGTCTGCGATATCTACCGAGGAGGTGGAATTATTGGGAAATGTTAAGGTAATGTGACATTGACTGACCACTGAAGAATTGTGAATTGCTCAGCTCAGCGAACAAACCAACGACCAATTGTGAATATGTTTTAGGTCCAGTTTTGTGAAAAAACGGTGGATTTTGTTAAATTGATTTCTTGTATCCACGAATTTGTCATGTCAAGTTAGCTTATATTGGATGCTTGGGTTATAGAAGGTTACATGTTTGTATATCAGTAAAAAATCCAGAGAATGGTGTCCGCGTACCTAGGGATATCCTGTAATTCCCACTGAGTGCCCCTTATTGAGGGGTTACACTGTAAGCCTCATACACTGAGGTTATTGAGACCATAGATGGCGGGTATGATAGAACTGACGAACTCGCAAACTCATGGTTGAACAAGTGGATAAAGCCTGGACAGTGAAGATGATAAACACACTAAATGTCACTTCGTTTTCCGTTACTTTTTGGCAAAGCTCCCAGTCGTGGGCACCTGAAACAGCTGACGAATTCCACAGCCAGCCCTCCGGTTTTCCAGAGACTTCAAAACACCGTGAAGAGCAATGTAGTTGAATGCCTAGGTGTTCTACTAACCACCCAAAATCGACCAGGACAGCCCACAACAACCGGAATCCTCAAGTAGCTACTGAGGATTCACATGTCGTGATCCAACACTAAATGCCATGGACCTATCTAGATTGAGCAAAGTTCCGAAGCGCATGGCAGTTAATATCTCAGCTATATAAAGCTATTGATGTTGAAGACAGTATAAGCCAGCTGTTCCGGTACCGATCTTCAGGATCACAGTCCTTTGGTCTGCAAAGCGCATTCATCAACGAAACCGCCCTTTTGAAGTTAAGACTGCAGCATTTTCACTGGTGGTTTAACAGCTACACATAAAACCAGCCAGCCTAAAGCATTGATCGATGCATGTACTTCATGTTCAAATATAAATTTGTGCTCTAGTGACGGTCTGCTTTGTTGGATGGCTGTGAGACTTGACCTATTCGAGCAGCCGAACTGAGGCGTCTTCAGGCGTTCGATAATCGTCGTCTCAGAACCATAGTGTGGGTTGGTGTCGGTGAATCCGTAACGAGGCAGTTAGAAAGCGCGTTTTCGGTTGTG